TGAAAATGCTGGCCTGTCATCACTAAAGTAGAGAGAGACAATTAAACATTTCCTCTTAAAAATTAATTTTGAAAGTTCGTCTAACTGATAAGCACTGGAGAACCAATCCCATAAAGGGTTCAATGTGGGCAAACCTATATGGCTACAAGGAATCTCAAAGTAAGCAGGACTCTGCACAAGCTTAAATATCTCTGTATGGATGCCTTTGCAGACTGAACCCTAAAGTCATGTATGATATCATACATCAGTATGACAGCTGAGACATCGAAAATTATCAATGTGTTGTTCTTTCAGTTCCACTCTAATGGATTTACTGAGGACCTCATACACACTGACAAGAGCATGTATCAGCAAACAACCTTAACACTACCGTAACTCAGCAAGATTTAATATACCTTTTCATACAAGCATGATACCATTCCACTACATAGAGGGCCATTGTTTATAGATGTGGGCAATTTAATTTTCAAAAGTGAGTGCATACAATTACATACAAGTTATTGCAGTTCCTTACAACTTGTACCCCTTATTAGTTAACTTGCACAAATACATGAATATCTAGTTGTATGACTAACTGCCCTTTTGTTCACGTGCATAAAAGATTCTGCATGTACAATCATAGTATGTGCACATCCATCTTCAGAAATAAGTAAACCCTTAACATCCATTTAATATTTAATATATTATTTATATGTTCTCCTGCTATCTTAAGACATAGTGCCATGTTTGAATCATGCTTCTTTTAATATACACAGATAGCACTACACATACAATACATTATTTCTAAACCTCAGCTGTGTTGTGTGTGTGTGTGTGTGTGTGTGTGTCAGTTGCTAACAGATCATTCATATTTATGTCTCACACACACACGCGCGCGCACACACACGCACACACCCACACACGCGCGCGCGCACACACACACACGCACGCGCGCACACACACACGCACACGCACACACGCACACGCACGCGCGCACACACACGCACACGCACGCGCGCACACACACGCACGCGCACACAAACACGCACACGCACACGCACGCGCGCACACACACGCACACGCACACAAACACGCACACGCACGCGCACACACACGCACACAAATACACACACGCACGCGAACACACGCACGCACACACAGATTAACAACACAACCATAGGTACACCTGAACTTCAAAGCAAAGCTCCCATGAATTGAGATGACAGTTTAGGGGCAGAACCACCAGACGGGACAATTACACACAACTTTGGTAGTTACCAGGCACCGCGCCAACCCTCAGCAGCTACATGGCAAACTGTAACCCTGCAGTCAATGGATCCATGGATCTAGCTAGATATCCCCACACACTCCCTATCTATCCCCACACACCCCCTCTATCTATCTATCTATCTATCTATCTATCTATCTATCTATCTATCTATCTATCTATCTATCTATCTATCTATCTATCTATCTATCTATCTATCTATCTATCTATCTATCTATCTATCTATCTATCTATCTATCTATCTATCTATCTATCTATCTATCTATCTATCTATCTATCTATCTATCTATCTATCTATCTATCTATCTATCTATCTATCTATCTATCTATCTATCTATCTATCTATCTATCTATCTATCTATCTATCTATCTATCTATCTATCTATCTATCTATCTATCTATCTATCTATCTATCTATCTATCTATCTATCTATCTATCTATCTATCTATCTATCTATCTATCTATCTATCTATCTATCTATCTATCTATCTATCTATCTATCTATCTATCTATCTATCTATCTATCTATCTATCTATCTATCTATCTATCTATCTATCTATCTATCTATCTATCTATCTATCTATCTATCTATCTATCTATCTATCTATCTATCTATCTATCTATCTATCTATCTATCTATCTATCTATCTATCTATCTATCTATCTATCTATCTATCTATCTATCTATCTATCTATCTATCTATCTATCTATCTATCTATCTATCTATCTATCTATCTATCTATCTATCTATCTATCTATCCCCCCGCCCCCCCTCTATCTATCTATCTATCTATCTATCTATCTATCTATCTATCTATCTATCTATCTATC